GCTATATCTTTTGATAGCCGGGCACCATCAGCTTTCTTCACCACATTTGCTTATTCACCCGCTTTGTCTTCAGTGGTTGTGTCGGGAAGGTGAGCATCTTAGAATGCCAATTTAATAGAAGAAAGTATTCTTGTGTTGAGGGAGTACTTGAGTGGACGCCCAATGTCCTTAAGATTTATTTTATTGTCACTTTTAATCATAGAGCATATCATAAATGTAGAGAATAGTTACACATTGCTTAAATGTAATTCTTAGATTATGTGAATACTGACAACAAAATTGTAAAACCTTTCTGCATTGAATTACATTATAATATTTTTAGTAATTAAGTCAAAGCCTTTTTAATTTCTTCCTTTTCCTCTGATTACTACTATATTCTCTGAAAGAAAAAAAAGATGATGCTGTATGTTCACCAATACTAATCACCACAATATTATAGTTAGAACACCAGAAAATGTGATAAAATCAGCAACTATGAAAACAATGGTGCCATCATGGGCTTGCAGTACACGCCAAGGAGACCAGGGATGCCAAGCAGTATTTAACTGTATAACGATGGCAACTCTGACAAGAGGCAGGAGATGGTTCAAAAGGGCACTCAGCATCGAGTTTGAGTCTTGCAGGTATGTTGAAACAGGTATGCTGGGCTGACTCCCAAAGATGTTTATTGTTCGAACTAACTGAAGAAATGTTGTTATAAAAATAATTTCTGCTGAATCACTGTGCAAACATTTTATAGACAGTTATTTTGCTGTCACCCCTCTGGCAGTATCACCCAGTATGAACCATGCCCCACCCCAGCCCCACAGAGAGCCACTGGCTGATCCCTCCTGTCCCCAAGGGCACGTACTCCACCCAGTATCCCAGGGTTCTAGTGGCCCAGACTGGGCACCGTGGGAAGGCGCTGAACCCAGGGGTCTGAGATCTGAGGTGTGGGAAGGGAAAGAGGGAACTTTCTCTGTCCCAGCCCCTCTGCTGTTCAGTTACCCCGCGGGGTACCCTCCCCTCCGACAGTCAGAGAGGGGGAGAAGGTTTCTCTTCTGTTACCTTTTTCCATTTCGGCTTGTTTCTTTAGTGTCTCTGAGAGAATAAAGACAGGGAGAAGAGATGGGGATGCGTTCTCCCCACCCTCGCCCCACCTTCTGGTTTCCACCTCTTTTCTTGCACCTCCTGCAGGCTGGAGGGTGGCTCCAGAAGCCACACGACCCTCCAGTTCTGCCCCTCCCCTCCACCCCCACTCCCAGACCCTTCCATCACTGCCCCCTCAGCAAAGCAGAATCCAACGGGTTGTCCATACAGCCTTGTTCGTACCGTGCGTTCTCTGTTGCTTCTGAAAGAAGTACCACGCCAGAAGAACCAGTAGCAGTGACAGTGTTGGTAGCGTCCCAAAGAAAGCACCCCTCCATGGGGAGGTCCTGGGTAAAAAAACATCTAGAAAACACCCCAAAGAAATGGTCGCTTTTTAGGTGCTTCTCAGGACTAAGACTATCCTGGAATCCACCTATTGGAAAACATTCCCAAAGGCTTTTGTTTGGTGCATTAAACCTTCTAGGCTTCACCCGAGCAATCTATAAAAATGGGCCAGAGAATGGCTGCTCTGTGCATTTTCTCTGTAGCATAACATGGACTTAAACATGCTGAGCAAAGTGCTGCAAACCAAAGGATGTGGACAGAAAGAGATTTGCTGGTGGGCCTCATGTGCCCTTTGCAACTTAGAATGTCTGTGACCACTGCTCCTGACCTCCCTCTACTTCTGCCCACTCTGCCTCACATGTGAAGGACATTAGACTCCAGATGTTTATGTTTGAAGCCCAGCGAATGACTGCTCTCTGAAATCCACTCATCCCTCTAGTGTGTTGCAACTGTTTGGCTTCTACCTCTGTTCTCATGACACTTTTGGAAAAACTGATAACTCAGCCACATGCAGACTGACCTTGATTCATCGCCTCCCTCCCCAGGCTCCCCAGGAGGATGCGCCCTGTGGGAGGATGTGGCCCAAGCTCAGCATAGACAGTGAAGAAATATGTGCAGAAATGTAGAGCAAGCCTTTAGAAACTTGTGTGGCCATTTGATATGTCAATTTTGTGCCTGTTGACTCCAAATGGAATTTTTATTTCAGAGGAATTTGCTTTACAATTTTATTTTTCTAATCATGTATTTTTACTATATTGGTTCTTCCCCATAGATGGTTAACTGGGGTTAAATAAGAGTAAGGCTCCTGGGTTCATTGGCTTCCTGAGCTCATCATTATCACTCTGTACCTTGTTCCCCCTGCTCCTGCCTCTCTGGCCGCCTTGTGGCTTCTCCAACAACATCCTCTCTTAAGATAAATACAAACCTTAAAAAAAATTTTTTTAAGATGGAATTTTCCCTGGTGCAAACAAAAAACAAACAAACAAACAAAATCCTGGAGACTCCTCTCCCCTTTCTTAGAGCATTTTCTTTTAAATATGTGTAATACCCACTCCCTCCCCTCCCACTTTGAAATAGCTGCAAAGCCTCTGGCTAGTTTTACAACTCAGGAATGTTTTTCATAATGAACCATTTCTTTAAAATGCAAACTCTTTTCCTAGAGCACCCTCCTCTTCCTGTCTCAAGGGGAGCTAACTGGGGGGCCTGGCTCCAGGTGTCATGGACAAATGTAATGGGTTAATCCTCCTAGCCATATGAAAGGGTGAGATTTCTTTCCGTTAAAATATTGATTAGGACTGATGTGAAAAATGACTAGCCTATGGGATTTGTCCTCAAGACTTAAATAACTAAATGTTGATACTAGAATTCAATGTAGATATCTAAATCTCCTCCCTGACTTCTCTCTTTCAAATCCATCTATTCATCCTGCCACTCCCTAGCACCCTCCCTGATTCATTTTTCTCCAAAAATACAATGTGACTTACTTGCTTGGTCTGTTCCCCCCCTAGAATATAATGAACCTGAGGGCTGAGGATTTGGGCACATTATAGGTATTCAATTAAGCACTGCTTAAGGGATGAAATTAAGATCAAGTAAACACTAATAGCAAGTAGCTATTAACTACCCAAAAAGAAGTACCTTAGGACAAAAGCCTGCAGATCTACTTGCAAAAAGCCACCGCTGACAACCCTATGAAGCACAGTTCTCTGGACACAGAGGGGTCACCGAAAGCTGGAATAGATTCAAAGGCAACTGTCTAGTTAGGTTCCCACAATGATGACTTCTAATGAGTAGAGATTATGGAATTTAGAACATGGCCTTTGGGCCTATCCTTCCCTCCCTGCCTCCCACCCTGCCCCAACCCCCAGTCCCTCCCAAGTCCCACCTACTACTGAAATCCCTGATTTACTGTGTGGGTTGTCAGTTGCTAACATATTCAGTTGTGAAGCCCAGCCAAGCAATATACATCCAGGCCATTGTGTTTTTGTAGACAGACTTTGGAGAAAGAGACCTGGAGAAAAGGATAACTAGGAAGATGAGGGGGCCCTAGCAACCACTGACCTGCTATCTGGATTATACACTCTTTCTTCTGGACCAGGAGGGGGTTCTGGATGGAGCAGGACACGTTGTAGAGGCTTCCCTCTTGGAGGACCATGGATGTTTCCAGACTGAACAGACCCTGGGCATCCTGGGTGATGGTTTCAGACTCCGGAGGCAAGCACCGTCCTTGATGGTCCCGCCATTGAACCTGGGGCTTAGGGTACCAGCCATTGGAGTGGCACCTCAGATGGATGCCGCCCTCCTTGAAGCCCTCAAGGGAGATGTGAGGAGCCGAGCCCAGCCCTGGGAAAAGCCAGAGGAGTGGGAAAGATCAGAGTACTGGCCAGACGCTGTGCAGGAAGCTCGTGTCAATTACCATTTGCAGTCATGTACTTGCAATTTTCAACCATGGACTGTAAACGACAGCCAAGATCAATGGTACTAATTGCTGGCCGAACATTGGAAAAGACAGAATCAGGGATTTGGGGGGAAGTGCTACTGGCCTTTAGTCCTGATATTCAACAGATATTCGTACTAGAGAGAAGACATTTATTTCCCCACCCCAATTCTAGGAGAGTGTCTGTATGACTTCCTCCCTGCCTTCTTTTCCCACCCCCTTCTCTCTCTCCTGCCCTCCCAGAGCTCCGTGTTTAGGCTACCATCTGCGTTTTTTAACCCCTGATAGTCAGCTTCATTTAAAAATATGTAAAACTGTAATATGGTTCAAATGTCCACACTGTCTGAAATGTATATTCAAGAAAGCCTAATGCCTTCTCCACTATTTCCATCCCATTCTAGCCTGTTTAGGTAACCAATTTTATTACTTTCTGCTGTATCCTTCTCGTGCTTCCTTTTGCAATAATTCTTCTTTCTTACATAAAGTTCACATACTATAGAATCTCTTTTCCATCTTACTTTTCCACTCTGAAAGATACAGTCTAGGAATCACTCTATATCAGTTGGTATAGGCTCCTCTTCATTTTTTTTTCTGTTTGTATATTTTTTTAACCTAGTACTCCATAGTCTGGGCAGCCATACTTAGTTTCTATGCTTGGATGTTTAGGATGCTTCCTAATTATAAACAATTACAAACAACGCTACAAGGTTTACATTGATAAATGTTGAAGGTGTATCTTCAGGGTAAATTCCTAGAATGGGATGGCTATGTTTAAAGATAGGTGTGCAGCGAAGTTCTGTCAGCTATTGTCAAACTCCTTCCACTGAGCATCATGATTCTGAACTCCACCAACAAGGTCTGAGAGGACCTACCTCCCCGCAGCCCTGCCAACAGAGATGATGGCCCATGCTGTGTATCCGTGTAACTTTCATTTGTCTTTCTGTCGCTAGGAATGAAACTACTTTCCAATAAGAGCCATCTGTCGATCTGCTTCTGTGTCCTGTTCATATATCTTGCCCTCTTACTAGTGGACCCTGTCCCCAGTTTATTAATAGCAGTCTTGCTTTTGTTTTAAATTAGGAATATTCTCTCTTTCTGTGCGATTCTAGAGCTACTCAAGCAGTGTAGGTCCATGCAGGTGGATTCCTTCTTTTGCCTGCAGCAGTGTAGCCAGGTCACCCACCTGCGACCTCCAACTCCCAGAGAGCTTCCTCAGTGAAGTCGGCGGAAAGGAAGCGGCATCCGTAGGATCCCTCATCAGAGGGGACAACGTGGTGGAGCTGCAGGACCACGCTGCCTTCTCTGATCTCATCCTTGATGAGTTTCGTTCTGTTCTGGAACTCTGCCATCTGCCGGTGGGAGAGTTCCTGCTGCTCGTGGTACAGGTGGACCACGTTCGAGGCCTGGCTGTGGAACCAGAGGATCTCCATGTGCTCAGCGTCCAGGGTTGGGAACAGATGGCATAGGAATTCCACTTCTTCTCCTACATGAGCCAGGATGGATTCCCCAGGGCCCACAACCTTGACTTCCTTTGGGTCTGAGAAGCCACAACAATGGTACAAGTCAGCTGTCATCAAACATGGTTTAGCATCACACTCTTTATCTGGGAACAATACACATGACCAAAGGAGGGGAGTCTACAGGACAGCTGACTGAATTTCCTGAACTCATTGTTCTTTTACAAAGTAAGAGCAGTGTTCTTGATTTCAACATATCCAAGGGGCACACCAGACATCCTGGGTGGTACTGGGCTGTTTAGTGGTTTGCACCAACCAGCTACAACTATTGTTTTGGAGACAAATATGTAAATTTCATTATGGTCTAGGTATTAAATGAAATGAAAAGATTCTGAAATGGAATCTTCATCATAAAAAGCATGTTTCAAAGCAGTATGTATCCTACAAAGCAAATCTTATTTGATAAAAAATCATGCATGTTTATTGCAGATGTCCTTTGATCTCTCTTTTGACCCATTTTAAAGTTGTTTCAGTTAAATAAAAAAATGAAGGGGAAATACTTGTGGATTAAGCCTCTGGTGAACCCCTCCTGACCTTAGACAGGGATGTGAATAGCTTTGCTAGCATGCACAACGCACTGGAAAGTGAATTGGTGCAGATGCAGTTAGGTTAAAATCTAACATCTTATCGTTTAATCTCCTTTTTGACCCATTTAAAATTCGTTCTAGTTTCGATATTTCCTGCTTTCTTTTTGATTGGGGCTTTCTGCTGTTTTACTTTGTTATTGTTGTCAGATTTGGGGGTATGTTTTCCTGTTTCTGAGATCCAGGCCAGTTAAATCTAGAGACAGCACCTGGATTACTTGTGGGTGTAATAGGGGAGGTTGGGGAAAGGGGGAGCTAATAACAATGAGTACAAGAAAAAACGAACATGTTCTAAAGTTTACTGTGGTGATGACTGTACAACTTTCAAAGACACTACTGAATTATATGGCATGTGAATGACAGTCCGATGAAACCGTTTTAAAAAGCAGACACGCTTGCATGAATATGCAGCGGTAATGCTCTGTGAGGGGGTACAGCAGCAAACCGTTGACAGTGGTGATTTCTGCACAATCAGAATCGACATTTTCTTTGCTTTGTCGATCTGATTTTTTAAAATAACGCACATGTACAGCTTTTGTAATGACCAAAATATTAAAAATAATCTGTGGCGACTCTCTATTGGTTTTCCTAGCTGAAGAACAAATCCTGCCGTTAAGACTTTTATTTATCCTGATCTTTCATTCGATAGGCCTTTTGTCAGCGATGTCCCCATGTGACCTTCTGCTTTTCCCAAGCTAGCACATCTTCTACAATGTTGTAAGCTGCTGGTTCCTGCTGCTGGTTCCTTGCAAAAGCCTTCCTGGCTCCTGCGCATACCCGCAGGGATCCCTGGTGGTAGAGTGGTTACCTGTACCATGGCATGGTCAGCAGTGAGCACCATTAGCCTCTCTTCAGGAGAAGACAGGGATGTCTACCCCATCAAGCATGGCAGTTTCTGAAACCCACGGAGGCAGTGCTATGGAACAGTTCGACCCTGTCCTAGAGGGTTGCTATGCGTTGGCATGAATTCAATGGCAATGAGTTTGGTTTTCTTTAATCTGGTGAATCCCATCACCCTCTTCTCTCTAACTTCAAAGTACCTCATTTCCCTCCTTTCCTATTCAGCTCAACTCCCACTCCTAAGGCTCTCTCTTGATGGGTCCCTCCCCCTCCGTCTTTTGCTTAGCAAATGGAGGAACTTTGCTGTTGTTGTTGTTCACACCATCATGCTGCCCACCAGGGGAAGCTTCTGCATCCCTCCTACAGCCTCCGTGTCCAGGTTCTCCCCTCTCTCCATATACACATGATGCCTGGTCCTCTCCATAGACACACCCTGATCCAGCTTACCCTGCACCCGTCATCTTCCTGAAGAATGTACATTCTCTCCCAGGCTCACCTTGAACTGCGCCCCCTCTCCATGCTCTTTCTTGGCTTTCCTCATGTTTTGCTCTCTTAGCTGTGGTCCCCAAATGTTTGGACATGATTCTCTTGTAGCCTTGGGCTTATGACACCTCCAACCCCCTACCTTGACTCCAAACTGCCTGAGGGTGAGAGCTGTGCTGGCTTCAGCCACTCGGATGTCCGTGGTTTCCAGTCCAAAGGATTAAGGAATTATGTTTGTGTATTTATATCATCTTTTGGTTGCTTTTTAGATGAGAGATTGTCAAACCAAGGTAGGATAGAATGAAAAATATTTACCAACCAGCTCAGTACAAGCACAGACCAACAAGAATCTCCTGGAACCTGCCCACTTAGCCTCCTTTGAGAAGTGTGTAAAGGAGGCTGGTGGTAGAGCACTTAAGAGCTAACTAAATAGCGGTGGAGCACTAGTGAGCTAGAGGATGCACACCGGAAGTGGCAATTTAGCAACACAGGTGGAAATCTTCGCATATTGTAGCCCCTGGTATACCCTGATACAGCATGGTATTCAGGTATAAGATCTGCCTGGGGCTACATCTGGAGGAAGGAGAAGTGGACAGAAACGGAGGTGCTCAAGGCCTGACTTTGCAGGGTGCAGATCAGACACACTACCTGAATCCAGCTTCCCAGGTGGAAAGAGGAGGAGGAGGTGGGTGAGGAAGAAGAGACTGCTGGGCAGAGGTGCCCGGTACAAGGAGTCCAGGGTGACTGGAAAATCCACCATCACCTGCCAGCTGTGGTGGCCACCTGGAAGGGAGTAAAGAGGTGCGGCGTGATTTAGAGGAGCTAGAATCCGTTCCGTCAAACTGGGGGTCTCCCTCAGCCCCCTGTTTTCAGTTTTGGTCTGCAGCTTGAGTTTCTCACCACCCCTGGGGCCCAGTTGCTGTTTTGGAAGTCTTGGCCAGATGTGGAGCTGTTTCTAATTTTACCCGGCAGCCCTGTTGATGGCTTCACTGGCCTTGCTCGGACTCACAGAGCTTCAAGGGAACAAGATTCACCGGTCCCAGAGGAAGCAGCTTTGAACCGAGTATTGTTTAGAGCCAGGAATAAACACACACATTCGGGGAGGAGCACAGTGCCACCCTCCCTTCAGTTTAGTGGCCTTCCCTCAACAAAGGGAAATCTCTGAGGAATCTGAGCTGCATTTTTATTCACAACCTATTCAACTCTGCTCCCACTTCCCTCTGCTCTGGAACACCCTGTCCCCCAAACGGAGGAACAAAAGCATGGTTCCAGTTATTCTGATGTGCAGCCAGGGCTTCCAGGACCCCTTGCTCCGGTCCAGAGGCCTCTGTTGTCTGTGGCGTTTTCAAGAGCACAGTGATATACTCGGCCCATGTAGCTGACGCCCTGCCCATCTGTGGCCCACAGGCCTGGGCCCACAGTCAGACAAGAGCCACTCCCTGTCCTTTCCAACATCCTCCCAATAACGTCTTTCAGCATGGTGGCCAGCGACTGTGGTGTAGATGTTAAAGCTTTGGGGGCATGCAAGCTTCTCCACAATCTTCAGAGTCTCAGAATTTATAACTGGTTCCGCCTCAATTATTTTGCTTGAACAGTGGAAAGAAGTAGTGTCAATTCTAAGGGTAGTTGTGTCCTCCAATGGACTGGTTGGATACTCTGTCCACACTCTCCTCCACCTTCCAAATGTTTATTTCCTGCCTTCTGCCCAGAGGCTCCTTTCTTATCATTATAACGTCTCTGGGGTGAAAGGAAGTGGTAATGGGCCCAGAGTAAAGTTCTGTCTTCCAGGCCTGACTTAGTTTTCCTTCTTTCATCTCTGTCAACCTGTTCTCCCATTGCATTATTTTCCTTTTGCATCCTCACTAGGT